CGGGCGCTGGACGGTTTGGGGGCGGGGGATTTTTTTTTTTTTCCCCCTCTACCCGCCCCCCTCCGAATTTGAAACTCTGCAAGGATGTGTTCGGGCAGGGAGATATTTAAAGGGGTGCTTACCTGTCCGTGGCGTCCTTGGGCTGCCCCTTGCCCCCCAAGCCGCAGTAGCAGCCGTAGGTGGAGTAATGCAGCAAGGCGTTTTTCCCCGTCGCCTTCGTGATCATCTTGTGCAGCTCCCAAAGGCTCCCGTGAGCTGGGGACAAGCCTGGGGAGCAGGAATCAGTGGGGCTCACGCTGATGCCCACCTCCCCAGCAGCATCCCCACACCCCTTCAGCCCCCAAGTTGGTACCAGGCTGGTGATGTCTTAAAAAAGAGTGGGTGCAACAGAGAGGGAACTTATTCCCAGCTCGGTGCGGAGCTGTTGCGTTGGGAGAGGTGGTGATGGGGAAAGGTTAAGAAATCACCAGCCTGGTCCAAATTTCCATGGATAGGGCTGCACGGAGAGCCGTGGGGCTGCTGCGAGCGAGGCCGCTTACCCGAAGCCAACAGCACAGCGACGGCGAGGAGAGAGTTCATCTTCTCAACAGCCCTGGGAAAGGAAACCAAAGCATTTCCCCATTGTATCAACCACTTTCTTTTTCACTTCGCCACCTCGTCCAGGGGCAGAGGTGTTCCCCACCTCTGGGGATTAGGGGAGATGAGGGGGGGCGAGGATGCGCCCGTCGCTTTGGCACAAAGCGCTGCCGTGTCGGGGGTGGGAAGCGATGGGAATCAGGTGGCGGAGGGATGGGAAAAAGCAAAATGAAGGGAAAGGAAGAAAAGTTGGAGGAATGATCAGGCCTGGAGGGCTGCACCCCCCCGCGCTGCCTCTGGGCTGGCATCTCAGGTAACTTCTTTGCTCCTGCTTTCCTGGCACGGACCTCGCTCCCTGCAGTTGGTTAAAGGAGGGAAGGGAGGAAAAGCGTTCCTCCGTCCCCGCTCACCTCGGGCAAGCCGCTGCTTGCTTGCAGGTCGCTGCGGCCGGCAGGGCTTGCTTTATATAGTGTTTGCTCCCGGAGCTCATCGGATGCTCATTTTGCCCAAATCTTGCCGAGTGGGCTTTTCTGCAAAGGAGAAGGTGCCGTCCTTCCCCTTTACAGGAATGCAAGAAATCCCCCCCCACCCCGGCTCCGTACCCCCCGCATGGGGGCCTGCGCCGAGTGGGATGAGCTGGCAAAGCAGCGTCATTTCCAGCCCGAGGAGGAAGCCAGCGCTCTCTGTCCCTGGCTGGAGATGCCCAAGGGCCTTTTTCTCTGCCCTCCCCAGCACCACGGTGCTGGGCTGGAGGGGAAATGGTAGCCCTGATTCAGGTTCTGCACCCCGGCAGCTGCGAACGAAGCGGGGTTGGGGCTTTCGAGGGGCCGTATGGTTTGGGAACTGCCCCTCTGTCACGCTGCGAAGGTGATTCAGGGCGAGTTCCCGGTTCTTTGGGAAAAGGATATGGGCAACAATGAAAGCATCTGTAAATGTGCAGGTCCCAGAAACACGGCGCTGCGCAGGTACTGGGTGATGAAACGCTCACCCTCCGTGAGAGGAGAACGAAGCAAAAATGGATGTTTTGGGATGAGTGAATGCAAGTTCCCTTTAGTTCTCTCCGTATGAATTTTCCACCTCCTCGTTGCAGCCCCTGTGCAGAACTCGTCCCTTATGGAGAAACCGTTTAGGCACCAGCTTAACTGTCCTCCTAAATGAGTGTCTGCCTTGGGATGGACGAGGCCTGAAACCTTCCCTCCTCTGCAGATTTTTCATCCTTAATTTTGGCCACCATTTTACAGCAATTAAGTGTCACAGGAGGGTCTCAAATCATCTCCCACATTTTCCCACTTCCATAATTCCTGTAAAAACACCTTTTGGCCGTATCTCATCTGCCCCTTAATGGACCGTTTTGTTTTAGCTCCGAGAGTGAGTTCAGCTAGTGGGAAGGAGTGTTGGGACCCAGCTGCCATCAGGGCTCGCCCCTGGGGAATTGTTTTGTTGACAAACCCCAGGGAGTTTTAGGTGGTATTTATTTGTCCCCATTTCTCGATGCAAAGTGCCCCTCTGCAGCCGGGGCTCCAGCAGCAGCAATATTGCTCCGCAGTGGGATAGCCCAGTGAATTGCAGCTGCTGTCGGACTTTTGGCTTTTTTTTTTCAGGCCCATAGAAATATTGAGGTGTCAGGCAGACGGTGTGGCTAAGGGGTGAGAAGCAAAAGTGCTCCCCAAACTTGGCAGCCCCAGATGCCACCGTTGCAGTGGCTCTTACAAAAAAAAAAAACCACCAGGGAGAATCATTTTGAATACCTTTTATTTGATTATCTTTGCTGGGAAATGAAATCAAGAGAGCATAGAGAGGAGGAAGGGATAAAAAAATGGAAGCTGACGTGTCTTACTGGAAACTCGAGGATCTCCATCCGTAACGTGTCCTCACCCTGAGCATCACCTTGCAGGGAGCCGTGCTGGCTCCGGCTCCATTCAGCCCCCACATCAGGCTTTTCTTGCCGTAGCACCAGGGAAAGCCAGTCAAACCTGGGTGCAGATTTCCCCTCCTCAGCACTGGAGCTTACTTCCTCGGCATTTCAGCTTGAAATAGAAGCGGTAAGACTCATTGTAGGCGTGCAAGGTGCTCGCGAAGCACGAAGCCACCGCCTTGTCGCACAGGCAGGTCTCTCTCTTGCACCAGCTCTGCTCGTTACCTGCAGCGGGGGGGAAAACACGGTGCTCTGCGGTGGCTTTTCTGGCTGGCGTCGGCGACGGGGTCCCCTCGGGGCACCCCCGATGCCTGGAGCTGCCTGGGAGAAGCGCATGAAGACGCGTGTCCCAGTGCTCGCCCTCTCCAGCCCGCCCCCATCCCTTGCAGTGCCCATGTATTTATTGTACGACAGGGCATCAGGCTGGTTTCACGCCCGGGGGGATGCCCTGCTGGGTACCACGACCTGGGGTGTTGTGGGGAGCAGTGGTGCGTCCCCACCTCTGCGGGACGTGTCCCCCCTCCGGCTCGGTGGTACTCACTGCAGACGATGTCTCCATCGGCAGCGTTGAAGTCGTAGGGGGTTATGAGGGGCCTGCACTTGCTCTCTCTCAGCCTCCTGTAGCAGCAGTCGTGGGCTTGGCAGCACCTGCGGGGGACACCACGTCAAAGCGCTGCCCCCAAACCCTCCCTCACCGCGCTTGGGAGGTAAAGGAAGGTCCAGCCTCCAATTTAAGGTGACCGTGAGGAGGGGATGACAAGGCAGCAGCAAGACGTGGCTGGGGAGCGGTGTAAAACCCCCTCTCAGAGCACACCGGCGCCGGCAGGCTGCCAGCGAGGAGCTTCTCGGGGACCCCCATGCCCCCTGCACCCGGGCAGTGAGTGGTGATGTTTTGCCAGGCACTCACCGGTCGGTGGAGTCCACCGGGGTCCCTCTGCCCCCGATGCCGCAGAAGCACCCGTACCAGCTGTAGGAGAGCAGGGCGCTTCTCCCCGTGGCCGACTTGATCATCCGCTCCAGCTCCAAAACGCTGCCGTGGGGGCAGAGGGACGGGATGGGGCCAGCGCGGAGCGAGGGGGCAGGCGGCATTCCCCACGCCTCGCACCGGGCAGAGGGATTCAATAAGTCCGGCGGTGCTGGAAATACGTGCTTTCAGGGACAGGAACCATAAGAAGCCTCCAAAACCCAAAAAATCCCTCTGGATTACGGCTGGTTTCTGCAGCTACCTGCCCCGGTCTGGGGCAGAGGGACGGGATGGGGCCAGCGCGGAGCGAGGGGGCAGGCGGCATTCCCCACGCCTCGCACCGGGCAGAGGGATTCAATAAGTCCGGCGGTGCTGGAAATACGTGCTTTCAGGGACAGGAACCATAAGAAGCCTCCAAAACCCAAAAAATCCCTCTGGATTACGGCTGGTTTCTGCAGCTACCTGCCCCGGTCTGGCAGAAGACATTACTGCTCCCTGTACGGGCTGTGCCGCGCTCGCATCCTGCAACCGGCGATGCCACACGGCTGGGATCAGCCCGGGGCTTGGCACAGGCAGGAAAGCAGGTGACAGCAGGCTCCAGGGCCTCTTAAAATAAACGTGGACCAGAGCATCCCAAAACCTCACCGTCACAAAGACCTCCAGGACTACAGCCGTGCCACACGGAGCATTAGAGAGAAACTGCGAAATTTAAACAAAAAATCCTGAACCGTGCCCAAAGACTCGGGGTTTGTACATCTTTTTTGCCACACGGCCGAGATCCCAGCCTGGATCCCAGCACTTACCGGCAGCCAAGAGCACGGCAAAGAGGAGATTCTTCATCCTGGGGCTGGCCCTGGAGGAGGAAACCACAACGGCAGGCGATGAGCAGGACAGATGCTGTCTCCGCGCCCAGGCCGAGTGCACGGAGCTGGTCGGCTGCGCCCCGGCAGCACCGCACGGTGACATCAGCGTCACCGCGGATACACGGCGTTGCGAAGGAATCACCGTGCCCGGGTGCACCCAGCTTTTTTTGAGGGGTGGGGTGGCTTTTGACTCCGGTTTCGGGACGCGGCGCTTGGCAGGGGTGTGTACGGCGACACGGCTGTTGTCCTGCCCCGGGGCTGGCGGAGGAGCTCAGCGCCTGCAGCCACCCGCCACCACCCGGCTGACGAAACAACAGGGCCATAAAATCCCCCCTCTCCTTACCACGCCTGGACCTCGCAGCTCCAAGGCTGCTGCCTTGGCGGGTTTGCTTATATAGAGCTGGCGAGGCCCACCCCCCCCGTCTGCG